GCAACGAAAGACTGGGAAAGTTGAGGAATGCTTAATAATCACCTGTTTGGATCATTCCACAGGTGAACAACAGGTGAGTGTCAAGATTGGGTTTAAAAGGAGCATCCTCGAAAGGCTCGGTGGTTCAAAATGCTGGAATATTTGCAAAAATCCAATAAAGTTTATCCCTATATAAAATGTTTGTCTTTGTAGTGAATTCAAATACATAAAGGTTGAAAAGTATTTAAAAACCATGGTATTCTGTTTTATTTATGTTTTACACAACTTCCCAACTTCATAGGAATTGGGGTTGTATTCATCCATTCATCACCTGCTGCTAAAAGGCAAAGGAGGATGATAAAGTTTCAATGTCAAAATATCTGAACCACTTTAAAAAAAAACGTTTTAAGGTGTTTGCCACAGCCAAGGATGTTTTAGAGACACAAAAAATCTCATTAGTTTTAGATTTTGAGTTGATTTTGACCTGGTAGCTGAGAGTAGTCCTTAACGCTGAGCAATTATGAGTCACAATACTTATAAAACAATCATCTCTGCTGTTTTATTTCTGTTTCACATTTTCTTAACCTTTCTCTCTCTGCACTTAAAGGTGACCATTGACTTGGAGCTCTGCCTCAACAAAAAGATCAAGTTAAAATCTTCCAGAAGACCCGCTGCCAAATACGACGTCTACCTGTACAGAACGCCCCAAACCAAAACCCAAGTCCCAAACGGGGAAAGTGTCAAAACTGTCAGTAATGGTCCCAGCAGAACCAAAGGCCGGGTTTTAAGGTGGGAGGATGATTTGTACCCGCCCTCTCCTCCCAATTCCGTCTGCAGCCCGGTAAGTATTCGCTCACAGCGGCCCAAACCCTGGACAATACGTCCCTACAACCTCTGACAACCATCACATGTCCCTGTCATGGATGGACACGAGTTCATGATGGAGTTCGTTACTTTTTTTTTTTAATTTTTTTGATTTCATGAGAAGAACTGAAACTGAAATGGGGAAAAAAAATTGTGGACTTTGCCTTCTGTGCTTTAACAAAACACCATGAAAATAAAAAATCTATATTGTGTGTGAGGGAGTTGAAACCATTAAATTCATACAATTTTATGGGTCATTAGTTTAAATTCCTAAATGCAGGAACCCCATGAATAAATATACCACCAGGCGAAGGTATTTATCATCTTAACTTCTAACTTATTTCCTTAACAACTAATCTAAGCATTTTCACCATGAAGCAGCCAACTCCCTATAAGAAAGTAGCAAAGGGGCGAGATGATTTGTTTTTGTTACGCGTAAATTTTACGCTGACATATAACAAATGTCTGCACTTCCAGGTTGTGTTTTTGCAATAAATGACATATGTTTTTGTCACTTTTTTTGTTTGTTCTTGATAATAAAAGCTTTAGAAACTCTACATATAAATAAATCCAGTCTGATCATTTGTCTTTTAAATGTTTTTTTTCTTGCAGACAAATTTAGCTGCACTCAGTTATGATGTTTTACTCAGCTTTTCATTCTGTTTATATGTAACATGGGAATAAAACATGTCTGAATGTAAACAACAAGTGAACATTTATAACAGTGTTTCTCACAGGTTTATTTTATTTTATATTATATATTTTAGAAATGGAACCAGTCTTCTTTTAATATGAAAGTGCACAGTGATGCAGCCCTCCTCTTTCTTTCTTTTTTTTCTTTCACAGAGTTTTATAACATTCTTGTCTTATTTTGGTTTTGTCACCTCTCAGCTCCAGTCTAGTGCATTTTTTTAACCACAACAGGCAGATTTTCAGCTGAAAACAGGCGACTTTAGGTGCTTAGAAAGTCTATAAGAGCTGAATAGAGGTTGGAGGTTATAATAAAATAAAACTCTAAGTCCATTACTCATTTTTAAAGAATGCATGAATTTAAGAATATAACTTTATATTGACTTTATTTTTTATTTCTTTAAGCATGAACAAAATAAACAATTACCATTGTCACCATAATCAACATTTACATTTAAGAATAACGAGCCTCACTTGGGAATTTTATGTGTCCTGAGGGAAAAATGAAGACCAGATGGACTTTTAAATTCATTGCATTTACAGCTGATTTCCCAACCTGAGCTGTTTAAGAGCTACACACTGCCATCTGCTGACTGTTTCATTCAGCTGCTGTTACTCTTTTGACCATCAGGAGGTGCTACACACAAACTGAATAAAGCGTAATAAAACGAGGAAGAGACGATGTGCAGGCAAAGATCGTCTATTACTATTACTGCAAACTCTGATGTTGATCTGAAATGTTTTTTCAAAGACAATTCCTCCCAAAAGA